TACTCACTGAGGTAGAGACAGCAGGTAAGGAAAAATCTAACAACTATTTTTAGGTCCAGTTTTTTCTAAGTCAGTCCATTTTATTGTATAATAGAGAGTCCAGGATAGCATCTTAAAATCCAGCCCAGGATAGATTAGACTAAATCAAGGCTGTGAATCTTAAAACCAACTGCAACTTTTAGAAAAGAGAAATAAAACAGAGCAGCAAAACCAGACAAGCCAAAACTTCTCAAAGTGTGACTGACTTTGAAGTTCCTCCCACACGATTTAAACATTTTAAACTAACAATTCAGAGTAATTGATTAGGATTTTCCCAGAACATCAAAGTCAGTTTTAGAACATTTTTGTTCACAACAAAATATTCAAATTTAGAAAACTCACAGAGTCACCATCTGTCTATTCAGTTCCTCTAAGTGCATCCGGCTGGTTTTAAGGTGGCTCATGGTTTGCTGATATTCAGAAACTTTATTCTGAAAATCAATTAGACACAGATTTTAATTTAAAACGAGGTTTTGGCTAAAACTGCTTCTCCATCTAAAATATTAATTCAGATTAAGTAACTGAAAAGATATTTAAGACATTTAAACATATACCTTCCCCTGTAAAAGCACATGACTCTCTTAATCAAATATTACAATTTAAAGAGACCCACACAAATGTTTCCTCCCAACGATTCACAGTTTTTGCTGTTGATGTCTGAATTTATTACCTATAGACACAGGTGTCATGAGAGCAGCTAGAAATAATCTCTTACACTGAAGAAATTGTATAAAAATGTCCTAATTCCTGCAATAACTTACAAAACCCTGAAGGTGCAGCTCCTCTTACCTGTTGCAGGCTGAAGATGAGAGTTCAATGACAAAGTGGAACCAAAACTGTGATTTCTATCATGGACGAATCATATTACAGCATGGAGACCATGCCTGATGTTTGAAAACTGAAAGAAAAACCTCAGAGGGGTAAGTCCCAAAGATTCCCACGTATAATCAGCTGATGTTCATGGATTACAGGAAACTGGATGCTAACCGAATCCTGGGTTATCCAAGGCTACATAGGATACATCAGACCGTCCTTCAAATCGGGCAAAGGGAAGGATGCATTTGTAGGCCCCATAATGAGGAGTTTTGGAATCCAACTAGACCTCGGCGCCACGCTATGATGTAATCGGCCCATATTAAATTGATTTGCCATATTTGCATGGTCCAGAATTTGGTCTAATATCAGCCAATACTATTGATCATTTAGTCCATTCCAACATGATCACAACTAGTTTTTAAAAAACCTATGAGGTACTGCGACATTTAATTCATCTTTGGGATTTTATTTGGGATTGATATTGCTAACTGAATTTGATTTGATTAACAGAATCTGCTCATAGAGTAACAAATGTATGCCACTGGAACAGAAGCGGTTTGTGGCTATACTTTTCATTAAAGTCTGCAAAAATTGTTGCAAAGAGTGCAAAACTTTAATTTATTAGAAGACAGGAAATTATCTTTTTTAAGCTAAAATATTGGAAATGAAAAAGTTGTATGGGTTCAAGCGTTTATTTTCTTGCTGGAGAAAAACTCATGACATCATTCTGGGAAATCTGAGCTCACACAGCTCATTTTGAGGTTTTTTTTTCATGTACAAGATATTATTTCTACATGATCAGCAACAAATTATTTTAAAAAACTGCGTTTTTTCATAATAGTGTGCCTTATTGATACTATAATCATATAGAAATAATTATGCAAGAGAAAAAAACGTACCCCTCTTGGAGCCCCTGGTTGCCCTAAGCCACTATGAATTCCTTTCCTGCTCTGCTAAATAAACACGTGTCTCATCTATGCCACATAAGTCTTATTCTGTGATATTTTTCTACCAAGGTGTCCGCCATCCCGTCAACTTCAGTTTTTTGCTGCCATGTTTGAAGCCACTGATTTCCAGTAAATCAGCTGATTAACAAAAACAGTCGGCTGCTATAAAAAACTGTGCTGGACTTTCCAACAGGGTGAGAGGTTTGTTTTCATACCAATCATTGCTGTGCTGGATGACTTGAATTTAATGAAACTTGCTCAGGGTGAGATGTGGATTACAGCGATATTATTAGACATTGAACCAAACCAGATGGTAGTTTATTTCTGTTTGCTGAGTTTCTGCACAGAAATATTAGCTAAAATGCTAAAGCCTCAAAGAGCAGCTCCTGCTGTGCTGCTGGGGTTGGGCAGGACTTTGCTGTTTATTACCATTCATAAACTTTAAAGCACGGCTGTGCAAAGGATTTTGGAATGATTGGGGATTTCCAAAAGTGTCTTTCATTTTCTGCTGTTTGTTTGTCTCCATGGCTCAAATTCCATAAAAAGGCGGGTCCAACATGACGTAATATTTTTAGATGAATAAATGAAGGTTTTTAGTTTCACCTTTGCAAATGATCCTATCATTCTAACCTGAACGCTCAGCTGCAGGTAGGAAACATTTCACTCTAATAAACTCACAGTATTCTTATTGCATATATGATACAGGTATGAATACAGAAGCTCTCCTGCTTCCTCTCTAATGATCGCTGCTCCCACCTCAGATTAAATAATGTCTTTATTAAATAATTAATCCTGAGGAATAGTTAAAAAAAAGTCATACTGAGAATTTCAGCTATTATGTAGAAAAATGGGAATTTCAGCTAAAAAAACACTCTGATGTTTTGGCCAAGAACTGATAAGAACTGCAGCCTGTTCTACTTCTATTATTTTCTTTCTCTTCTCCAGGTTAAACCTTTAGTTTTATTAAGTTCCTGATTGTCAGACAACCATGAGTGACTCAACAGACCATGCAATCCACGGGCTGCTGTTGGCTTTACACCTGGAAACACTGATATTAATGTGAGTTTCCACAGATTTAAAACTTAATTTTGCAGAAAAACCGCTTTGACATGTTGTAATATACATTGCAAAACGTGATAGCATAATCTGGTTTGTTTTGGCTGTTGGAACAGCTGTTTACGGAAGAGGATTAGGGCCACTGGAAAAAAAAAATTTAACTGATTTTTACATTTTATTTCAGTTTAGTATGGGTTAAAAGTCAGAATTCTGATTTTGTCCCATACTAAACTGAAATAAAATTTAAAAATCAGTTTACTTTTTTTTTTTTTCAGTGGCCCTAATCCTCTTCCGTAGCTGTTTCAGAAAATCCACAAAACATTTAATAGTATTAATTATTAAAATTTTCTCTGAAACTTATAACTTTATTCTGGTAGTTTGTGACAATGCACTTCATGCTAAATTCCCATTATTATTTTTATTTTTTGGGAAGCAAAAGAATACATTAGGCCAAGTGCAATAATCATTTGTATCAATAAATTCTTTCCTAAATTGTTCCTATGAGTCATTTAGAATAAAATGCCTATTTCTCCATTTTTCTCCTGTATCTAATCTCCTCTCAGGTAACAAACTAATTTTCTGAGTGCTGCAGACTGATAGAGGAGTCTTTTTCAATCCATCAGCTGTTATCCAAACCCAGTTTCTCACTAAATGACCACATTCGTTGTTACTTAGAGGCAATTGTCCATTTTATCAAACTGCATCATTCTATATTCTGCAGCTCTGCAATTATAAATTACATTTTATTGGCTGATGCTAAGCATTTACAGCATTTAGTATTAAGCATTTACAGAATATGTTCCACCTCTTGCCTCCATCCATAGTTTTCATTGACTGTTTTTCAATGAAATTATTTTTATTTTTAAATAAGCGAATTATCCTAGAATAGAATATCCTAGAATATCCCAGGATTAAATTGGAAGGCAACTGGACTTTCACTCAGTTCTTTTAAAGACGTTTTGACACCCATTCAGGAGCCTGTTGGCTCTCAAAGAGCGTTTATGTATTTAAACAGCACGGAGGACCATCCACCTGCACATAAGTCAGATGCTGATCAAATAGCCCCCATGGTTCTTGTTGATTGTTGGAGCCTTTTGTCGTGTGTGAGGCATATGATTGGTCATTTGAATCATAATGGGAGGGCTTCTGTAACAGTATGGAATGAGTTCCATGACTAAATTGTAAATGATTGGAAGGTGAAACTGAAATCCTTCCCCTCTGCTCAGTGATGGCTTTTCTCTTTCCACAGAGATGGCTTCCTTGACATGTCTTTCAAACCATCTATCCTCTCTGTCCTAGATCCGCACATTTTGGTCTTCAAACTTGTGTCCCTTGTTTTTGAGGTCCAAGTGCACAGCTGGATCTTGCCCAGAGTTCCTGGCTCTCTTATGCCACGCCCTGCGTTTATGAGGTTGTTGTTTGGTTTCTCCAATATAGGAAGTTGTCCAGTCCTCACTGCTTAGGTTTGCGTGTTCTCTCTATAGGATGAAACAGTTTTTTTGTCTGAATTTTTGTTAGGTTTTGAAATTAACCAGTCTTTTTTTGTTTTTGCGTGTCTTTTTTTTCCTCCTCTGTGTTGCAACCAGTGATGTCCTTCTTGCTACCGAACCACATGGTTCGAGAGATTCCCTAACATGTTTTGTTCTTGGTAACTCAGAGTTTTGATCACAGAAAGTTTATGATCCATCAGGTGATGTATGTCTTTATGCATAGGTTTCCAGTACACCTCAGTTTTAAGCCTTCCTTGTTTATACAGCACAGTCCAGAAAGGGCAACATGTTATTTTTGGCATCCTCTCTAGTGAACTTGGTGTTTCTGTCCACTATGTTGATGTGATTGGCTTAAGATAATGATTTTCAGCTGCTGCTAAAAGTTTAAGACTAGATATTGGTATTATTATGGATTTCTATGAGTAAGTGAATACTTTACAAGAATAAGTCATTGCTATTTTAATATGACTTTTTTGTTTTTATCTTCAGGGAAACTTTTATTGATCGTATTCACTGTTTTGAGAGTTTAAAGTCCTCAGATGAGTGGAAAAGGCTCATGAAAGTTGCTGAGGAGAACTGCACCAATCCAACTGTCCTGAAGTGGCTGAAAGAAAATTCACATTCATTATCTTTCCTCATCCAACTGGTGGAGATGTATAACTTCTTGAAAAAATGCATCGATGAAGAGGAGAAAAAGGACCATGGTGACACTGTGGACATCACCTTTGTAGCTCATGGATCAATCGGAGACTTCATGATCCCAGCCAACTGTCTGCTGCCTCTGGCCTCCATCAGAGATGTGGTGCTTTATGCTCCCTGGAACTGTGTCTCCTCTGGCGCAGAGATTACGTACGGTATTGCCTCTGGAAGAATGAAGCCTCAGCACAGGATCTTCTGCTGCTCCAAGAAGGATGGCTGTACCGTTCCTGATGAAAAACATCGACCCAAGAATCTACCAGACCACTGGAACTCCATGAAGAACGCTGGAGACCAGATGATCCCCAACATCACAGTTCGTCCTCTTGAACCAGATGATGGTGTGTGGAAAAGCTTTGAGTCTCTCACCAAAAAACACGGTCCAATAGGAAGAAACCGGATTGTTATCCCGTTTATCCTTCCAGGAAATGAAGCTGAGAGTGTCCCGTTCTTTGTGGTCACCTTGGCTCTGTCTCTGGTTCTGTTCCAGTCCAGGTTTAAAGCCACCGTCCACCTGGATACTTGCCTGGTAGACCGTTCTGTTGGACAGAAGTTTGACAGGGAATATCTGGAGAAGCAGTACTGCTGTGCTGCTGATGATACTGGTGTTAAATGTTCGTCAGAGATCTTCAGCTCGTCTTCAGAATGTAGGTTACTTTAAAAGTTTATTTAATTAGATTTTCTCCTATCATTCCTATTTGGGTTTGGGTTAAACTGTGACTCTGTTGAGGATCCTGATCACAACTCCCATGACCACAGCTGAATCTAAGAGGTGATTCTCAACACTGAAGAGGATCAAGACCTTCCTCAGGAACACAATGTCACAGGATTGTCTCCATGCCCTGGCCATGCTCTCTATGGAGAAGAACCCAATCAAAACCATCCCTGACTTCAACCATAGAGTCATTGAGAAATGTGCTTTTATCAAAATGTATCTACAAAAAGTAATCCTGTACATGAAATTATGTTTTTTATTTTAATAAAGTGTTTTACAATGTTGTTTTTTGTTGTTCACATCCATATAAATATACTGGTGTGCTGACTTAGTATAGGTTTGACTGGTTTTGCTTTATGTCATTAAACTCCATCAGCCGCCACTGGATCTAACCCCTCGATGCCAAGTTTGGTGGCCAGCTTATGCTGCTATAGGCTTAGACTGCTGGAGGACATAGGGACCCCTTTTTCATCATTCTGCTTCATTCTATCTCTATTCTCCCACTCTGCAGAATCTGTTAGTTCAATCTCTAACGTTCTGCTCTCTCTGCTTTTTCTCATAGTAGCTTCATCTGGTCTGTTCCTGTTTGGCTGTGACTCCATCCTGGAGAGAAATATCAGCTGTGCTGCTGCCATCAACACCTTTGTTTCTAGATGTTGGAGCTTGGCCTGTTTTCCAGTGTAGTCCTGTTTCTCTGACTATGACTAACTGGATGTGCTCTCTTCATCCTCTGACATGGGAGCTGGCTCGGAGCTGATAGTTGCCTTGGTTGACAGTTGCCTTTTATATATATTGGTTTATGACTACTGAGTTTCATTCATTGATTCAATTCCAGGGTGTCTAAGGGAGGATTGTTTGTTCTATTATGGAGCGTTTGAGATGGAAATAATGATTCTCATAACAAGCTAGACTGTTTGTCAGGGATTATTATAACATCATTTGTAGTTTCCAATTGTCTGTCTTTGTTTGGGTAACGATATGTGGAGACCTTCAGAGCTTTAATTTAGTAAAACAAATGCCGTCTAGATGAGGACAGGGCTGAACATCAGGCTTTAACGGCTGCTATGATTTTCTTTGTCTCTTTTTACTATAAAAAGGGTGAAATCTCTGGATCTCCATTCATTTAACTTGGAGGAATAGTTGAATACTTTTTTTTCACAGGACAGTATATATTTCTACTAAGATGTTTCTGGTAGCCTTTTTTTTCAACGTTGTCTGCACTTTAATTTCGAACTGAAATTCATGCCAATCTCACAGTTATTCCTATGATATTAATTCCAACAGGTTTTTGTTATATTTCTGTTATGTTGTGTAGTCTGCTTTCTGAACATCTCTTTTTGATACAAATAAATAATGAGTTTAAGATTGATCTATATCTTTCATATTAGATATTGTTACGCTTTTCAGGTGTTTGGCCCGCATGCAGAACACACACTCAGAAAGCAGGAGAATAGTTTAATGTGTTAATTTAGTATTATAATATTTTTAATAGTTATCATTATTACCCTCAAATACATGACTTTGAACATTATTTTTACTCTCAAATTGCCTCTAGAAGCAATCTGCTCAATTTTATGGGCAGAATTAAACTGATTTGCACAGCAAATGTACATCATCTGCTACATTTCCCCTTATTTCAATTAAAAAAACAAATAGCTTATTTGGAATATTCGAAGATCGGCCCCAAAAACATCAACTTCAGTTCTGATCTTTGTAATAGTGTGATATACATAAATATATTTGGAAAGAGTAAAATGTATGGATTTGTCACTTTTCAATGATCATATTCAATGTCTATAAAATTAACACAAAAACCTAAAGTGCCTTTATTCATTTCCGGGGACATTACAGTGGTTAAGGCCTTTTAATTGGGTATAAAGTGTAGATTTCATGGCTCAGAACAGGAGAACCAGTATTCAAGGCAGACAGACAGTACGATTACGATTACAGTACGATTACAAAAGTAAATGAAGGAAGGCAGGACTATCTGTAACGTTCCTGGCACTGGAGCTGCTAATTGCAATCAGTGCACCTGTTCTTACTCCTCTGTCATGATTTGTTTGGAGGTTTTTATGAGGACCCAAATGCAGAGGCTGACAGGCAGGGGTTAGTTCTTAAAAGGTTTAATGAAAGATCAGGCAGCAAAAATAGGAATCCAAAAATCCAACTTAAAAATGTTAAACAAAAACAGGAATCCAAAAATCCGACATAAAAATCAAACACAAACCAGAACCATGGAGTCATCAGGGGAAAACCATCAAGGAGCCAGGGTGAGAAAAGGCAAGACGAGGAACCAGCAAAGAGGGACTGCAGAGGGAGTGTATTTATGGCTGACTAAACAAAGGTAGGACTAATGAGCTGATAAGGAGCAGGTGTGAGTAGAGCTGAGGAGGAAGCCAAGGGAAAAGAACACAAGGAGGCAGCAGGGGACAGACAGAAGAACCTAAGCAACTTAAATGAATCCAGACACCAATAAAGCTAGAAAACAAGGAAAAACCTGGATGAACCTGAAACTGAAAACTTAGAGAAAAACAACAGAACCAAGATCGTTACACTATCAAGAAGGTGAAGTCAAAGCCAATATCGAAGAGGTTCAGGAGTCCAAGCAAGAAGATCAGAGATCCAAAGAGGTAATGAAAAGAAATCCAGGTCAGTGTCAGGAAGCAGATCCAGGTACAGTCAAAAGGCAGAATCCAGCAGGAGTCCAAAGACAGGTCAGGCAAACAGAACAGGAACAGGCAGGCGCAGAGGCCGACCGGATCATGATCAGGCAATCAGAACACAATCAGGTATGCTAGACAACTGTCACCAAAGGCTCAAATAATCTGGCACTGGTGACTTGTGAGAAGGCTGGTTAAATAAGCGAAGGCAGGTGGATCTGATGAGTAGCAATGAGAATTGGGCGGAGCTAGACAGGTGAATGAAATGAGCGACCAAGCCAGTCATCTGCACCAACATCATGACAGTTCGACCGGAAAAGAATTTCCCAATTGTAATAGAATAATTTTCATCCTCAGCTTGACAGGTTTAAAACTGTAAATATTATATAAATTTGTGTTATTCCCAGATAAAACAGGTGTCTTTTCAAGTCATTTATTAGTTTATTCTTGAATTGTTAATGTCTGTCCTAATTGACTTGTCCAACAAAAAGCATATTTTTCAAAATGCTCAAGGTACGGTAGCTAAAATTGACTAAACTCATTAAAATCCTCTCCCAAAAGACGTTTTAAAGTTCTTCTAAACTAGCACAGAATTCCAATCATGAAACACCATTATGGTTCAGAGATGTGGGGCCCTTCTTTCCAATGACATCCCTCCAGGTGTCACTGTCATTTCCCACAAGGACGTTTAAGTCGGGGTGGGCAATAAATTGAATATATTTGATGTATCTCAAGTTTTCCCATGCACTGTATTTAAAATGACTCTATCGCAACCATAGAGAACAAATTCACATGACGACAATGAAATATGGGGACAGCAGGTGTTTCCGGTTAAGCAAATTAGGGCAGTAAGGATTTCACGCTGAGGACTTCAAACAAAAGGTGCTAAGTTGTAAGACGTACTGCAAAAACTATTGCTGCAAAAGGTAGCAGTACAAATCTATTCCAGTGCCTAAAAAGTCATTGGCTGCAGAATGAAGAATGTTGAAAACTCTGCATGTCAGCGTCTCCCTGCACACCAATTAAAACGTTCAATAAATCAATAAATCAGCTGTGAAGTTTGAAAAAGCGATCCCATATGAGAGAAACAGGAAGAGATGGAGGAAGATATTTTTAGATTCTCTAATACCTGTGATGTGTTGATCAGAGGTTCTCTAAACTTTGCAATGTTGTCAGTTTTACAACTTTTTGTGCTTCTTTAAAATTCCCAGCAGGTAAAGATCAATAGCTCGGGGATGCTCTGATAATGCTCTTAATTTTTTTGGACAATATTTCCAATTTTGTTTTTGTAAATTGAGGTCAATTTCTTTTTTCTTTTTTCATTCTGCATTTTTCATTATGCATAAAAGAGCGCTTGTTTATTTTGCATTATTGAGTATTGCGTGTTTTTGCTTTGTTACGTGTTTGGTTGCTGGGATCTTGTTAAAGGTCTAATGCTGACACCCAAAGACATCATGTGGCAGAAAAGCAGTTGGGAAGATCATCAGTCTGCCCTCTGCTGTCTGTAGAGGATCTGTACTGTTCCTGCTGCCTTAGGAAAACGCACTTAACCCACTCAAGGTCCAGTCCCACCCACTGACAGGCGCTTCAGGACAATAAAAACAAGGAAAGGATGAAGAATTTTTTTTTTTAAAACATTATTACTACTCTTTGTGGACAAAGCCATATACCTAATACAAATAGGCTATGCATTAGAATAAACAGTGCACACATGGGTGTTGTGTAATATTTTTTCTGTTTTATGTGTTCATCATGTCTTTGGGTTTTATTTATCTATTAGTCTTCTATGCACCTCATTAACTGCACTTTTTTAAATTGTATTTGTAGGCTACTTGTATAATATGAAGGGAATCTGATTCTGTAGACTATGTAACATATAGGGTGCTCCCAAAACATGGTGACTGCACCTAGCTAAATGAATCAAAATTCAAATAGAAATCCAGTACATCTGAGAGGAAACAAAAGCTGTGAATAAAAAATCAATGATCTTTTTATACAAACCAGAGTCAGCAAACTGAGCTGAGATTCAAGGCAAGGTAGACTAAATGCTGGTATGCTCATCTCAAGTGACAAAGATGATCTGTCAAAGAAACGCTGCAGAGGGAGAGAAGGTGACCAGTGTCAGGGACCGGTAAGGCTGATTTAAGGGGAATCCCAAGAAGTGAAGTAGTCAGAAATTATATTAGGGCACCAAAATAAAACAGGAAGTTCAAAAATCAACTAAGCTTGACACAAAATGACAAAAAGAAAAAAAAAAGACTTTAATCAGTCG